AAACGTTGAGTGCAGTGTAAACGTTGAGTGCAGTGTAAACGTTGAGTGCAGTGTAAACTTTGAGGAGTGACGTGACGCGCTGTTGCGCGAGGGCGCGAGCTTGAGCGCTCCACGTTTAAAGGCAAAATTTTACCGCTGCCTTTGAGAAATTTGCCATAAATATTTGCTGGATATTATATTAAAGACAAATCTACCTGGAAAGCATAAAGGATTTGTGAAGTTTGTACAGAATTGTCTGGATTTTTGAGGCGAAAATTTGTTTCGCGGCTACGGTTTGTGACTACCAGTTTGGAAATTCAGTTGAGACCGTTAAGAAATCCCGCAAGCATACGGCGCACGTGATTTCACATACGTCAGTGGCGAAGAATCGTTCAAATTATTGAAATTAATATTAGAACATTCAATTAAAGCTAATCTAACATTACTGATTGGAAGTTGAACGTTTCTGGAATTCTTTAAACCCATATTAGCAACTGTTTTGCGTGCGTCTGGAACATTTATTCAACTTAACAAATAAAGAGTCATAATCTAGCAATTATGTACATGGACACCATGCAGAAACTACGCAAAGAAAGACATTCGACGATTAAAAAACCTTTATTTATTATCGCCATTCTCTGGTTGTTGTTTCTAAGCGTCAAACAGTCATCACGCAACCCCACGGACTCAGGATCCACGTTAATTATAAGTCCAGAACTGGTAATTTTGCCCAACAGACTGTGCTCGATTTGGTTTACAACTCAAGATAAAAAGTCGAGAAAATTTAACTTATCAGATGATAGCTATCAATACGGTCTTTGTTTCCAAATCGCAAAGATTACGAGTCATACGTTTATGTTGATCTTACTAGCTGGTGATATTGCAACAAATCCTGGCCCTCCACAAGCTTCTAATAGTTACAATATTCAGTGTCTTTACCTCAATGCGAGAAGTTTGATAAATAAAACCAATGAACTTCAGACACTGGCAATTGATATTGACCTCTTAGCGATGACAGAAACCTGGCTTAAACCCGAGAACCTGGATAGCGAAATTCTTCCTGGCAACGATTTTAACATCCATCGGCGAGACAGGTCTGACAGAACTGGTGGCGGTGTTTTACTAGCTGTGCGTGAGAAAATTTTGAGCATGAGACGACAGGACCTCGAAAGCAGCGCTGAAATGTTAGTATGCGAAGTTCGTCCCGAATCGAAGAAGAAGATCGCAGTGATTGTTTTCTACAGACCACCAGACTCCGATTTAAAGTACATCAAGGAATTCAGCTCATTCAAAGACGGAGTAAGTTTGATCAAATTATAGTTTGCGGCGACTTCAACTTACCAAATATTGACTGGACCACTGGAGTATCGGCTAACAACAATACCATTTATCAACACTTTACGAAAACTGTGAAAGATCATTATTTGTGGCAATTGGTTGACTTTCCTACCCGAGGTGAGAACACACTTGATCTAATTCTTACTAATATACCGAACAAAATTCTGAATGTGACAGGGTTTGATGACGTCTTAAGTACAGATCATAAACTCATAAGCTTTGAAATCAACTTGAAAATACAAAGTAAACCAAGAGTTGAGCGTTTCGTTTACAATTTTGCAAAATCTGATTGGTCCAATCTTAAAGTATTACTTGCAAACACTCGTTGGGATTTATGTTTTGTTCCCGGTAACATTGATGAGACACTTTCGAACTGGTGTGACATGTTCCTTTCAACCGTAGATAAACACATACCAAAATATTGCATCAAGAGTGTGCATGACCACCCGTGGATAGATAAGGAACTACTCAGGCAAATTAAGAAGAAAAACATACAAAGAAGAAAGCATAAAAAATTTCCAAGCCCAACTAACCTAGAGAAATACAAAAACTTAAGGCGTTTAACAAAGCAACTGATCAATAAGAAAAAGAAACAATACAACATCAAGCTTACAGAGTCCTTGTATGAGAATCCCCGACGATTTTGGGCGGCTGTAAAACACTCGACGGAAAACCAAAAGAACATCAATTTCCTGAAAACTGAAGACTCATTTACAACGGACAAATTTGAGATGGCAAATACTTTAAATACATTCTTTCATTCTATCTTCAACCCTAAGAGGTCGGAATCATTTAATAAATCTCCCTTACCCTCAACGTCATCAATGCCCGAGCTTTCCAGTATTGAACTCTCGGAAATTGAAGTTGTTGGAGTTCTTCGCAAACTAAATTCACGAAAGGCGTGTGGTCCAGATAACATTCCGAACAGACTGCTGATCGAACTTGCGGACGTTATTGCACCTTCGTTATGTGAGATATTTAACATGTCATTGAATCTTGGTGTAGTACCTCTTAAATGGAAAATGGCGAACATTACACCCGTATTCAAACGCGAAGATCCAACGCTGGCAATGAACTACAGGCCAATCTCACTACTTCGCACTTTGTCGAAAGTCCTAGAACGTTGCGTTCACAATCATTCCTACCAGCATCTCGAGCCACACATTTATCAAATGCAGCATGGTTTTATACGAAGAAAATCCACAACCACACAGCTGCTTGAAGTATACCATGAAATTCTGGAATCAGTCGCAAGTGGGAATGAAGTTGATGCCATATACCTGGACTTTTCAAAGGCATTTGATAAAGTACCGCATCATCTTCTTTTGCGTAAGCTTGAGACTTTGGGAATCAGGGGATCTCTATTATCTTGGTTCCAAAGCTACCTCACAGATAGACAACAAAGAGTCGTTCTTCACGGCGTTTGTTCTGAATGGCTTCCCGTAACATCAGGTGTGCCACAAGGTTCTATACTCGGACCCTTGCTATTCCTTGTTTACTGTAACGACATTCCAACCTACATCGAAAATAATTCTACACTTGCGTTATTTGCGGACGATTCAAAGCTTTACCGACCACTTTTGTTTCCCACATCTTCTACTTTACTTCAACTTGATCTTTCCAATATAACAAACTGGACTGCTGATAATCAAATGGAACTAAACGCAACAAAATGTAAGACCATGCACTTCTCAAGAAAAAGAGCACCTACGCGAACTCAGTATTCAATCAATGAGAACATACTCGAACAAGTGTCGACCTTCAAGGACCTTGGTGTGCTCATATCCAACAACCTATCCTGGTCGAAACACATAGAAAGCATTGTATCCAAGGCTAATATAATAAAACACTTGGTCTCATCAAAAGGATTTGTAAAGAAGTGAAGAATACCAACACAAGAAGAATTCTGTATTGTGCGCTGGTAAGACCCAAGCTAGAATACGCAAGCAGCGTGTGGTCGCCTTACACCATTAAGCATTGTTTGCTCATCGAGAATGTTCAACGGCGGGCCACAAAATTTATCTTGAATTATCCTGACAACATGTCGTACGTGGACCGGTTGCAGAAAACAAATCTTCTACCACTGGAATTCCGAAGAGAACTTTCTGATCTGATACTGCTGTTCAAATCCAAACACCACCTCATAACAATGGATATAAACAAATATTTATGCACTTACAATCCCAGCTATCAATCTCGCAACTATGACGAAAATAACTTCCACCTCATTATAAAACATAATCAGGAATACTTTAAAAACTCTTACTTTATTAGATCAGCAAAACTTTGGAACAGCCTACCAACTGAAATTAAGAAATCCAGTAGTTTATGTTCGTTTAAAACTCGTTTAAATAACTTATATAGTATCAAGTCAAAATCATACAAACTTCCCAATAACCGTAGCTAATATTTAGTTTTGTGAAGAAAATGTTTGTAATATAAGTACTAAGTATTTAGTTCAGTTCAGTAAAGTTCACCCACTAGCTCGGTGTACGAACAACCGTATATCAGTTAGAATTTATATAATGATCAAGTTCAGATTAGTGTTAAGCTTTCGTTTGTTCTCACACCGAGAAAGTGCCTATGAAGTATATATGGGGTGAGGTATTAATTGGGACGTAAGTCCTGTTCCACATTCCAGTCACGTGTGTTGTCCTGTAGCTTGTTATGTATATTGTTTTATCAGTGTCATTGTAAATATTTGTGACAAATTTAATAATATAATATATATATATAGTAATTTCAAAATCCTCATACCCAATTCGCAAATATAGTTATTCAAAGCAAAACAGTAGATTGTCTAGCGAATAAAAGAATTATTATTTTGTGCCGTTTCGCTACACCTTGTCAACATATATAAATGTGTTGCTTCAAACTTTATGATAAAAAACCCGATTTTCTAGACGTGTATACAAATAAAAATAGTAAGTTTATACTATAAATGAGTTTATTTTACCTGTATTGGTTTAAATTCGCTGTTAAGTTGCAAATAATTCTGTTTGAGAACGCAACAATTGGGCATTTCGCAATCAGCTCAGTTTCAGGGCAGTTTTGGCCTTGTTGTTGGGAAATCCACTAGGCCTTCTACAGGGCGAAGGGAGAGAGGGCGTAGAAACGGCCATACATCGAGCGGACCCATCCGTGATGCGGACTTCGCGGGGGGTAAGACGTTCTAATTGTAAACAAATATGGCTACGCGTATTTAATTTAATTTAATTTAATTTAATTTAATAAGATTCGGCTACTATTTAAATACAACATATAGAGCCAGGGAATTCGCCACAGGTTTCCCCAATTACGGCGATCCCATATAAACAAGAATGAAATTACTGTACAAAACAAATTTTCAAGCAACTCAACAAGCTAAAACTAATAAGGCTAATAACGGAAATCCATACTGTCCAAGTTCAATAACATAGATTATAGGACTAACAACAACTTATTACATTGTTAAGCGATCTTGCTCTTTTGCACTTTACACACACTGATTTCCAGGTGCGCGGATCGTCACATTTGAATGTTTTGGATAGTGCATGTTTGTAGTAGAGTTTAAGACCTGATTTAAAAGACAGCAAACCTATATCTCTAGTACGCAAGTTACTATATAATATGTTCCACGTTTTGCAAGTTCTTATAAAAAATGAGGTCTGGAATGTTACGGTTTTCGCATAAGGAATAACAAATCTAATTAGGTTTGCGTTGGATTCACTTCTTGTAATTCCTGATCCAGCCATGATCGGTAGAGCACGTTCGTCAATGTACGTAAGATTGTTGATGATCTTGTAGAGGAACACGAGATCCAAGTATTCGTGCCAATATGAGACAGGTAATATGTCAAGCTGAAGGAGTCTTGTCTTGTAAGAAATGTCTGTGATAAAGCCAAGATTCAATATGTATTTAGTTGCTCGTCTCTGCACTTTCTCAACGTCCTCAATAAGTTTCACTGACTGAGGACACCAGGCTTGGGTTGCATAGGAGAAGTTACTTCGCACAAGTTGAAGGTACAGAAGCCTTCTCGCGTTGGTATCCGTTATCTCCATGGTAGAACGTCGGATTAACCCGAGCGTTTTGTTGGCTTTTGACCGAACTTTGTTGATCTGAACATTCCATAATAGTTTAGAACTGATCATAATGCCCAGATCGGACTCTACATCAGAAGACAATAGTTGGTGATCGCCAAGTGCATATGGGTAAATTAAGGGAGACTTCCTTCTCGTGATAGACAACACTTTACATTTCGATTTGTTAAAGCTCAACATGTTCTCATTTGACCAACAATGGAGGCTTTGAATATCCGATTGCAATACCAGTGCATCGTTACGATTTTGCACACATCTGTGCAGTTTGGTATCATCAGCATACAAACCGACCCCAGTAGAAATGAATATGTTATCGGGCAAATCGTTAATGTACACCGAGAAGAGGAAGGGAGCCAGCAATGAACCTTGTGGAACTCCGGATGTTATTGGTAAGGGAGTAGATGTCGCACCGTGAACAGTTACTCGTTGACAGCGACCTGATAGATAGTTTTCAAACCACAACAAAAGAGAGCCAGATAGACAGTTTGGAGTGGTCAACGGTATCGAAAGCCTTGGAAATGTCCATGAAGACAACGTCTGTTTGTAGTCCTTTATCTAAGTCCTTCCCTATTTTGTGTAGTGTCGATAGTAATTGAGATGTGGTTGACCTTCCACTAATGAATCCATATTGTGCTGAGTGAACGCTTTCCTGTATGCGTAGATATAGGTGGTTTAGGACACAGCGTTCAAGAGTCTTGCTGACAATGCTTAACAAAGAAATGGGTCGGTAATTTTCCACGTGTTCTTTTACACCTTTCTTGTGTAGAGGGATGATGTTGGCTAGCTTCCATTCGGAGGGAATCTGTGATAAGCGGAGGGACTTTGTGAACAGGTAGTGTAGAGAAGGAGTTTTCATAGCCATGGGGTTTTAAAACCTGCTTATAATGTCAAAATCCTCACTGTGCACTTACTGTATATTTATTTTATAGCACTACAGGCTTTTATAGTATTATAGAGATATAAACAAATTTTCCCTGACAAACTTTGAGTGATATATATAGCCTTGCCAGCGGTTCTTGTAGCAGTTATATATAATGACTGTGTATAGTTATATTATTTATCACTTCTACGACTACAACAGGCAGGTGAAAATTAAATTGTTTTACTGAATATGCTGGGCCAATTAAAGGCCATTAAAGATATCAAGTTCAAACCATTCAAATGATTCAATACCCATTGCAATCAAGCAATGACCATAAACCTAAGCCCCAATGACAGACCCCAAATATAAGCCCTCCTGTGTAGAATTGCACCACAAGAAATTCTGAATACAAAGCCCTCTCCCAAATTTAACCCATTAAGCGCCAGCGCTCTCCCCTTGACGAGTAAAACTGTCTGGCGTTAGACAGAGTAAAATACCAAAGTAGGGTGCATCAGGGTGCAATGCAACTCAATGGGTTAAATCCCTCTGTGTGAGCCCATAAACTTATTTTTGGACAGGTATTTTTTAAATCAGCGAAGGGGATTCCAACAGCTCAGCCCATCAAAAATGCTATTGAATGAGTATAAGCATTGGGTCGTTCCAGAAAAGATCCACACTCCCCACACAGCTCGGAAATTTTTGCCGTCCGGAGGGGGAGGGGAGAAAAAATTGTTTCTGATAATTGTAAATGTATTAGGACATCCGAAGGGGGTAGGGGAGTTAACTTCCAATTTCCTCTGTGGGGGTGGTATGGATGTTTTCTGGAATAACCCATTCAGAGGTTTACATATGGTATTCATCTGCCCAACATAGTATGTCAGAGTTCCAATATAAATTCCACAGCCATTAGAGTTGTAGACTTGTAGTTAGGTATTTGTAGGAATGAAGGGTGTCTATGTGCCAGCCAATGCATATTCGCTGCCATTGGCATTGATCAAAATTGTGCCCTGACAATTAACCAATCAAATTGCCGATGATTGATAACATGTACATTTGAGAGCATCTTCAGTGGTGGTATCCCCATTATTGGAGTAGAGCCCAACTGTTCAGTTAGACATTATTTACGAACTTCCTCTCTTATATCTGCATAGATTATTTTTGATATATTGTAATGTAAAATGAAACTTTGGGATAGTTAAGAAATACAATTAATTAAGCCATTTATAATGGACAAGATTGTCCCCTTAACAAGTAAAATTGCCTGGCATATTACTAGACGGGCTTATAAATGACATTATACCATATTAATTAACCATTAGGTTGCATTGTACCCTAATGCACCCTAGCTACTTTATTATTTTACTCTGTCTAACACCAGACAATTTTACTTGTGAACTGGAGAGCCACTCAGTGCTCAATGGGTTAACATGTCAATGTCTAACTGAACCGTCTGGGCTCTGCTCTACAGTAAATTTCCTTGTAATTGGAGTCTGGGATCTGTGACCCAATACATCTTCAGTGTCTTCATATGGTACTGTCACTATTTTATATGTATAATGGACATTTCTCATTTAGGGTGAATCTGATGTAAGTCATGTGGACAAGAAATTAATACAAGTTCTTTCGAATGTTCAAATAGCAAGAGTTAAGTGGTGCACTAGCTCTTGCCAGACTTAACTGCATGCCAGAACTAACAATTACTTTTCTCTATAATTTTGTGGGAATGTGTTATTTATGTGTATGTACTACAAACAGCCAAAGAATAACCCATGAGCTCTAGTTTTAATTTTTTAATAATACTGTTAATTATTACATGTAACTTGATTGTACAGTTAGGTTTTAATATTATTTACTGCTAATGGGTCATATTCCAGAAAACATCCATACCACCCCCCACAGAGGAAATTACGTACATTTACTATTATCACAAACAATTTTTTCTCCCCTCCCCCTCCGGACGGCAGAAATTTCCTCGGTGGGGGGAGTGTGGATCTTTTCTGGAACGTCCCAATTGGATAATTATTCTTTAACCATGCAAGTTGAATTAAAATAAATAATATACAAAATCAAGCAAATTTTTGTCTTTAATTAAATTAATTAATTTTGAAACAATTAATACATGTTTCTTGGAGGTTCTCTAACAACAGTGGCATGAACTCATTGTGGGAGCATTCTGCAATAAGCAAGAATAGATTATAGCCATAGGGGCTATCAATATGGAAGCCAGGCTGGCCTGGTTGGCAGAACAATTTATTATTTCCAGATTAATTTCCTTGCCAACACAATTCTATTGTTTTGACAATATTTCCATGACCAATGTTGTATTGACTTTACTTTGACCAGGTCAGTACAGTTAGTGTTTATATCCATAAAATATCTTCCCGGTGTAACTGAGAGCTTGCCTTCTTCAGGTGAGATCTGAAAACTGAGCCAGTCAGGTTGTCCATACAATATGAAAGGAATTTCCACTATAAAAATAAGCACACAGTGAGTGGGATCTTGCTTACTGGCCTAGGGCTAGCTGTCACATTAGCCCCTACCTCAGGAACACCAGAAATATGCCAGCAATTGAGTCAATTAACCCAATACTTATAGGGATGGGGCAAACAAGTTAATGCATGGCCTTTTAAAGATACATGCAACAAACTATCAGAGAGCACACAATATACATGCAAACTTGGGCAAAACATATGCATTTTCAGATCAGCTGAGCTTTTTCCAGCACCAGTTCTGAGCTCATGCATGAAAAAACCCGGTCTTGGCTAAATCTATAAAACCTTACTTCCCTCTTTAATATACTAGCACATCATAGTTTCATGTCAACTCAAATATTTGTCAAATTCATATACATGTACAACCATTAATTCCTTGGGATTGAGGGATGAAATTATTATATTTTAAAATTAAAAGATTCGTCTACAACCACATTATAAATACTCGTGGCTTATTTTCTAAAAAATAGAGTACATTCTACCATTTATTCCTAACATTTTTTCATGAAATATTTAAAATAGTAATGTAAATTTTGAAAAATGTATAAATACCTGCTTATAGTCTGATAAATACGGATGTTTGTTCTGGCTTGAAGTATCGTTTTTGCCCACATTTCGCGAGGTTTTAATAGTTGTTTGTTGTCTTTCACGCTCCACAGACGAGAATTAACGTGTACAGCTTCCACATCTTTGAACAAATTGTCGACAGGCGAAAAAATATGTCGAAAATATCAAAACAACAAGGATTCACTGCAAATTGCAAAAAGCCGAAATATTTTTATAAAAACCAGGGGGGAGTGAAAACTGTGGCGGGCTCATAATTGAGCCTTGTTCAGTGTCAATTACCATGAATTTAGGGACCAGTAGTCATGGAAATGGCGTCATTTTTCATCAAAATCCGCCATTTTTTTGGCGACACTTCGTTGACTGAACGAAGTATAGGAGCAGGTCCTCCAGTTATTATACAGCTCAGTGGATAACAGCCGCGTCATCAGCGAATTGAAACCAGTGAATGGGATTGAGGAAGTTAAACATGAATAATAGTAATAATAATAATAAGAACAATAATAATAATAATAATAATAATAATAAAAATAATAATAATAATAATAATAAAAATAATAATAATAATAATAATAATAATAATGGAAACTTTATTTAATAATTTTGTTATATATATATATATATATATATATATATATATATATATATATATATATATATATATAAAATAAGTGCAACGACTCAACAAATTCCACTAGGCATCTTTATTACTATTAGTTTCGTACCACAAGATGTGGCACTCATCAGATAAATTAGCCTTATGACTACAGCAAAAAACCTACAGTATTTATGTACAAGTGGATGAAAGCTTTAAATTAATCCTATTTACAAAGCACGCAAAGCAATTATTTTGTTACTTGATAAAATTGACAGGACGCGGAAGTATTAACAACACATCAGCATAACGCCAAGCTATTAAGATTGCGCGGTATATTTAAAACAAAAATATGTCTGTTTCGAGTGCATGCCCTTTAAATGTTAGCTAAAAGAAATTTTTTCGCATGTCTGCACGAAGACACTAATTCATTACGTTTGTTCAAAGTAGCTAGTTCAGGTTTACATATAATAAAGTATTTTTCCCACAGGCAGAGATTACATCTATTAGAAGCAGGGCTGTAGGGTTTGGCCCGTTTCAAGGTTTGCCATTTAATATGAAATTCAATTCCTTTGCACTTTAACTGCCAGACATATTTGCTAAGTTCAGTGGAGTTCCTTTTCTCGTACAAAGTAAATGAGGTTTTGTGGTTATAATATCTAGTTTTAAAAGCGTTTTCAGTCAGACCAACGTATGTTTGAGGTGGACTATTGTCGTTGGTAGAAACTGTAGCTTGATATACAATAGATTCAACCAAACACTTTTTGGACATTGGGCACTCCTCTTTCTTTCTACAGTTACATGTGCTTTCTTCACTCGTTGTGGCGGTTTTTGACAGTTTGGTCTTGTTGTGTCCGTCGATGGTTTGTTTGATATTAGGCATGCAACTGTAGCTTATTTTAACAGTGTTGCGGTTGAATATTTTGTGTAGGGGGTGGCCTATTGGGAATTCATCATCGATAATATTCAAAAATGTTTGTCCAATATTTGTTGATACATTTTTACTAAATGGTGGATTGTACCAAATGATATTACGTCTTCGATTTCGGGTTCGAGGGGTTGTATGATTAAGTGGGTGCTTGTACTTTAACTGGTGTTTATAACCACTATTCTGAAGTGCTTGCTGGTATTGTTGCGAGGCTTGTTGAAATGATTTCTCATCGGATGATATTTCAGTTAGGCGTTTGTTGATAGACAGTGGGATATTGCGCAGGATATTCGGTGGGTGATTAGATTTCTTGTGCACATAAAGGGGTATATTATTAGGTTTGGCGTATGGTTGATATTTTCCGGTTGACAAATTAAGGGTAACGTCAAGAAAATTGACTATTTTCTTGTTAGCT